CAAACTACAATAACAAAAAGGATAGTGTCACTCATCTCTCGAGTTCAAGGTTCTGAAAGCTTCAAAGGTGTGGCTCATTATGTTATCTAGCGATTAAGTAACTTCTATTATACTTCTATATATCATAATAGAGAATAAAGCTTGCGGTCCTGATTTTCTGTGTACTCCTCTAGATTAGATGCAAGCAATTATCGGTAACCGAAGTAAAAAACTACATATGAGAAGATCACAATAACTAGCAAAGAGTTATTATCAAATGATTGGATGTACCATCAAGAAAAAATTCAAGACTTATCTAGTTGCAGGTTTTTTATTCAGAAACTTTGGCGACATGAGTTTACTCCCTCCTTCCCTCAAAATAGGTACTTCCCAGGTGAATATTTACAAATGATAATTCAGAAAGTTTGGTCACATGAGTTTACTCCATCCTTCCCTCAAAATATGTACTTCCCAGGTGAATATTCAAAATGATAATCCAGAAAGTTTGGCAGCATGAGTTTACTCCCTAATTCAGAAATAGCAAATGCTAAACCAGAGTATTTCAGCTATTATGATTCTCTACGGTTTTAGGTTCTTCCCATGACCTACATATGGTGAACAACGTCATGGGTGGATCTACATACAAGAGGGTGGTGGTGGTGTCACTTGACACCACCCTAAATGATAAAAAAATACCTTAGTTTACATGACTAATTACAAAGTGACACCTCAAAAATAAAGTGAGTGACCCATCAACTTCAATTGCCAAGCCCAAAATAGAGTGATCCTACATAAGCAGATCGACATACAAGAGGGTGGTGTCACTCTGATTTTTATATTAGAAAAAACAAAGCTTAATTTATATGACTAATTACAAAGTGGTACCATGAAAATAAAATGCGTGGCCCATTAACATCAATTTCTCAAGCCCAAAATAGAGGGATCGTACATTAATATCACCAATTAACTGACAAAAGCCAATTCCAAGTATCAAAGAGAGCATTAGTTTCTTACAAAGAGTGGGAAAAAAGGGTTGTGTATCCATTTTATGTTTGCTTATTAAGTTATCATTGATATTATCCATTATGGTTTCCTTGAAAAGGTCACCTTCTGCAATTAAAATGTGAAGAATCATCTGCGTAATTGAATGGGAGATCAATGGATGAACGATGGCTTAGTAACTTACATTTAAAAGGATGTATTCAGTGGTGTTTCAAATGAAGCTACTATGCAATGATTTGAAAGCAGGAAGACACATAGGGGTCAATTGTAATTGCATTTCGTCAAACATACTTAAACATGCTTTTGCATCTCATTAAAGTTCCAAGTTATATTGAATGTGAGAGAAACATCAGTAATATAGTTACACACACATATTGTGACACCACTATTGTAAATCCCTAGCTCCGCCCCTGGTTCACAAGGTCATATCAATCTTGGAGGCAGCCAATGTTTTGCTAGCTGAACATTGCCATCATCGTGGATTGTATAGAAGAAACGTGCTTGGTATTACCTGGAGACCAACATTATAGCTCATACAGGGCTTCAATAAGCTACAGATGTATCAGTTTCAGTCATGGTTTCCATTAAGTATTTGAAATTATTCAAATGGAAGATCAATTGTGGCCCGAAATATAGTTGAATATACGAAAAGTATACTGCCCAAATGAAACAAAGCATGAAGCTTATCTGTGAAAAAACAAATGGGAAAAAATCAGGTACAATTCACCTGTGAAGAACAATTTGCTAGAATTCGCTTAAGCACAGAAGTCGTCTTCCTCTCTTTCATCAAATAACTGCAGAAAATAAAAGTAAAAAATTGTAGAAATTTTTAGAGAAGCAGTTGCTTTAACATATAAAATTGAAACTAGCCCTTCATGTCTCCATGATTTTACTCAGATTATCTCAAAAAAGAAACTTAATAATGGATCTCCTCTTCTAATATATATTAAATGAAATAGGGGAGAGAAAGGGGATTTCTAGGGTTTTGTTCCTAAGATCTGAAACTGAGACAATGTAAATGGGGAATATATCAGAAGCGTAGATTTTACCTGATAACTAAGGTTGGAGGGAAATAATGGAAGGATCGAAGAAATTTATAAGAAAACACAATAAATTGATCTTTTTCCTGTATATAAGATCGAACGGATGTGAGATACCACTGATACAAGTCTCGGGTCTTCTCGTGGGAGTTCACCGAACAACAGAATACGGGTCGGGTCTCAATCGATTTTATCCAACCCAAAAAGGCCTTGTTTTGGGCCTTAAAACGAAAGTTCCCTATGTTAGAACGGAAATACATTTATCTGAGTTATTATTATTCCTATTGTTTGAGAAAAGCCATATTTGTTGTTTTACCCTCATGCGTGTCAAGATTTTAAAAAATTTAATATATATCATCAACAGTTTACTGTACATTAACAATTTGGATCATTTCCGGTACAAAAAATAGTAGAGAGACCACTAGTTTTAAAATTTTAATTGTATTTGTTAATTATGTATTGTTTAGTTGTGATACATTCTAAATCCAACGCACATTGTACCCCTCGTGTATTGCATTCATTTTTAATTTACACTTATAGAAAAAAATCATAAAGATCTATCATATAATCAATGATTGTGATTAACTAGTGGTTATGATAATCATATTTTTATTATATTTTTATACCATCATTATCTATTTTGTTTAAATAAATATGTCACTAATAAACATGTTTTATATTATTTTGTAGGTTAATAAATAAATAATTAATTAAAGCTAAAAAAGATTTTAAAATTCCTTATTTTTTAACATTTTATTGAAGCTCAGGATCAAGCCAAGCAATCTACGGAAGCCGAAGAAACAAGGATCCAATATAAAAGAAATCAAGTCAAAATCATGTTCGAAATGATCAGCCACAAAAAAAGGGCGATATCTCTCAATTTGAAAAGTAAAATTTAATATATAATATATAAAAACCGCCTATCTCGACGAGATGGAGCTAACTATATTTTTAAAATTTTAGAATTCTAATCGGTTGATCAACCGATTGCTCAATTGATTGACCGACTGATTGGTCAATTGATTGACCGACCAATTGGTTCGTAACAAACTTGTTTGTGGCTAAGATTTAATCATTGATGCCCAAATAAATCCCAATGGTTCTTGCTTGTTGTAGGCTATAAATTAGGGTAGATTGTGAGAGGTTTGAGTGTGAAAATTTTTAAAAACTCCATTTGGAGAGGATGTTTACTCTTAATTCAGAAGACATTCCAAAAAATTATAATATTACTACAATTAATAAAAAAAATTCACTTCTTCATATTTTTCTTGTCCTCTCTTTATTTGATGATGAATATGAAGATGAAAATGAAGATGAATGTTTGCTTTCAAGAGGCTAGAGCCCACTTACAATGTAAAGTTTTTTCTTTTACCTTTTATTTTCTTATAATATTTTCTTTTCTTATTTTAGATATTCAAGGGATTAGAACCCTCTTGTTTTAGATTTATTTTGATTCCTTTTAGAGTAGATTTACTTTTATGTCTTTATTTTTTGGTATAGATTTATTTTCTTGCATAGTTTAGATTTTTTCCTTGCATTATCTTCAATATGCTAGAACCCTCTTTGTAATTAATTTTTATTCATTCTTTTCTTTTTTATTCTCTATGAGGAAAGAACCCTCTTGGGAATTAGTTTTTATTTTTATTCTTTTATTTTTATTCTCCAACAGGCTGGAACCCTCTTTGAAATTAGTTTTTATTTTTATTCTCTTCCTTTTATTGTCTCTAGTATAGATTTTATTTCTTTGCTTTTATTTTCTGAGATGTGAAAGTAATTCTTGTATGAATTCTAAAATTGTATAAAACTAGTTTGAATTTTTTTTATAATTTGTGAATTATTCTCTTGTACTTAAAATGATATTATTTAGGATAATCAACTAAATAACTAATTGGTAGAAGAATAATTTGGTAATCTACGCTTATCTCGAGTAGTTTGATAGGTTGTGCTTATGAATTCTAGAATTATTATCTAGTTATTGTTCTTTTCATGAATATTAATATTACTTGTATGAAAATTTGAAAGGTTATGCTTTTATTAAGTGGTTTGATAGTCTATGCTTAATAAATCTAAAGTAAAATATGATAAAAAGAGAAAAGATCATAATCTATAAGTGAAATTGGCTAGTGGATTCAATTCTAGATTCCTCATATCTTTAATTGAATCCTCCATATTTTACTTTCTTGATTTTGTTCTTTATTCTTAATTTTCTTTAATTGTTTCTTCATTTTATTTTCTTTTATTTTCTTCATCTCTCTTTCTCCCCTCTCAATCTAGTTTTGTTTTATTAACATATTATCACATCCACTCTCTTTATCTCTCCACAACCACTTTCATCACTCCTAAATTGTCACATACACAATCTAGAAAACCAATTTTGATTATTTTCTATAACACCTTCCTCAAGGAATTTAACATTTATCTATACTATAACTTGATAGTTGTGCACTTGTCACTTAGGTATCTATTTAAGCCCCTATTAAGTTTTTGACGTTGTTGCTGGGGAAGGTTCTTGTAATTAGAGTTTCTCTATTTTGGTTCTTTAATTCGTGTGTTTAAGTATGAACGAA